GCAACGCCAACCCATGATATGCTCCGGCATCCATTCGCTGCCTGACCCTCAATTGTAGCCTGGGCAGCTGCCACGATTAATTTAACGCTCCGCTGTGTCAAGCTGTTGCGGGAAATACTCGTGCCACTCCCATACTACACTGGCCAAAATGAAATGGCCGCAATTTGCATTTAAGTCTTTCGGAATGCACTTGTGGGCCGACCAATAGAACATTTTCCGTTTCCGTTGCGTTTGCAAAAATTGTTGCCACAAACAATTTTTGGTACATGGGGCACCGCAAGTGGCAGAAACCGGTGTGAATTTCGGATAGGGGATTGCATATGCTATCCCTGAGACTGCAGAACAGAAGTCGTTGCCAGCGCTTTTGCCAAATAAAAATGCGATTTAATAGCTAAATTACGCTCCCATATGTGTATATGTGTATATATGTGTGTGTGTGTGTGTGTGTGTGTATGTGTGTGTGTATGTGTGTATGTGTGTATCTGTGTCTGCCTGCAAAAACATTTCTGCTGCGTTAGGCATTTTTGTGCGTCCCACGAACTCATCCATTGAAAGTGTGCTCCTCTGCACCACCTATCAGCTAACAACGCGCCCGTCTGATTGCACCGAGTGTGTGTGTGTGTGTGTTTGTGTGTGTGTGTGTGTGTGTGCGTGTGTGTGTGTGTGAAAGTGCAAGTGTGAGAAATGAGAACCTGCACATACAGCAGTATTTTGAGCAACGTGGCAATCGTTGTTGGATGACCCAACGCTTTTGACTTTTAATTGCATTACGTGGAAGTCATATAATAATTGCATAATTGAATGCAACCAATAAACGATGAGTTCAATTTTGCTGCTTCGTTGCGCATTATTGTTGCACATAAAAACATTAATGAGCCTGCAGTTGTTTGACATAAAATACATAAACGCCAATTGTGGCTTACATTAAAAACTATTCTATCTAAATTACAACAGAATTTAAATGCAATTGATAATATGATTATGCTTCATAAAACTTGAACTAGTTTGAATAAATATATCATAATAATAAGATAATAAAATCTTGTTTATAACGAGTCTTCGTATGGAGTAATTATAGTACAAGTAATTATACAACAATTTAGATAAAGTTGACAAATAAAGTTGTGTAATGAAGATCGCAATCATAAATTATACCAAGAAATTTAATTTAAGAACTTTTAAAATTAAATTTTCTCACCTTTTTTGAATGAATAAATATTAACGAAGATCTTTGAAAATCTTGGATATTTTACTTACAAGTTTGGGCTGTCAGTATAAATCAAATCTTATAAAATATGTTGCTTGGAATATTAATTCGATATTTACATAATGTTTACAAGTCATATATACTTATTTGGCACTTTATTTATTTTTTATTTAATTTTATTAATTATTACTTTATTAAATCAGTTTCGTTTTATAATTTTGCGAATTTACACCGCGTTCATGCTTGAAGCCTGACTCACGGCAGTGAATACACTCAGAAACATTCATGAGAATGAATTTGGGCATTCATGGTGCTCGTAAGTTTTAGTGTTCGTAAATTGCATATTGCTAGTCCGGTTATCGCAGCTCTAAAACAAGCGCGTCATTTTTCCCAGCTAAGCCCCGGCGAAAAACAATCTGCACAACACTTGTAAAACTTGACAGGCGTGCAGCGGACAAGTTTAACGGGAGGCTCGGCTCGTTGGTGCGTCACAAATTTAGAACGGAACAGCTGCCGCCCATCGTACCCTTCCCCCAACCCCCTCTCGCTCTCTCTCTCTCTCTCTCCCTCTCTGTCAGTTCACTCCCCACACTGTTGGCTGCTCGCTAGTCGAGCTTACCCAGTGCAGTGTTTCACAAACATTTACAATTTATTGCACATTTGCCTACAAAATATCGCCCAATTCAGGGCAGCGCACATTTAATGGAGTATGCAGATGGTTGAAGCCCCCTCTCTTTTCCCCTACCCTGCCACTCCCAGCTACTGCGAGAAGTGCCCAGGGGGTTGCCGTTGTGGTGGTGCGGTGGGCGTGACATTACAGCATGTTCCATTGCACATTTGACGAATTTATTGCAGTTTAGAATTTTTTTGCCCAATGTGCAGCAGTTGCAATTTTCCCAAAGACACACCAGATACGTAAACCAAAATGAAAAAAACACAATTTCAAACTCCAACACGACCCCACACCAAAAAAAAAAAGAAAGACATAAAATAAAAGAAGAGATTGTGGGATGACTGTACCTTCTTGCTTTTTTATTTATTTTTTTTGTTTTTGCTGCACGTTTTGTGTGTAGATGAAACTGTCAAAATGAACGTTTAGAAACTTATTTATAGTTTGGCGTATACAATTTTGTGGAGAAGTGTTGCCGACAAACTTGGTGTGCGATAAGCGCGACAGCATGAAATGAAGTTGTAATGATTTAGATAGAGAGTGAGACAGATCGTATAAGCAATAGTTCAAGTGGCAGCTGAAGTTTGCCACAAGACAGGGTTAAATTGATAGTTACACGCTCGTCTTGGCTTGGCTGAAACTCCTTTTGCATAAGGAGCATCCATTGTTTAAATTATATATTTTGGTTTCTTTTGGAGCAAATTAAGCAATTTCAAGGTGCCTGGCTCACCTGTTCGCTCCAACACGCCGTCATCTGGTTAATTACCCAACTGATTACAGCCGGAGTTAGCCACTTGCTTTATAGCCAGCTAAGTGGTATTTACGTTTTAATTTAACGCTTCTTTTGGCCGGGCGTCTGCGTGTTTGGGTGGTTCAGTGCTTGAGTGGGCTGTGTGATGGATAATGGGTGTTCGGGCAATGCGCTTTCGGTTTCAAGAAATGCAATACAAAGGCGAAAAAAAGCAAGAGCCAAAAAAACCAAAGCCGGATGCCAAGGCTAAAAAGCTTTAAGCACAAGTAAAGACGTTGTCTGCACTGGGTGAGCGGAGGCGGGGCTGGGCTGTCCTGGACATTACCGTCTGTAATTGCTGCGGCTGGCAGGCGAGTCCCTTAACGACAGGACCCCAGGACAGTTCGGCAACTGTTGCCTTTTGCTTTTAGTCGTTGGCCGTCCATTCAAGTGGTTTTTGATGACAAAATGAAAGGTAATTTTAGCGCAAATTCTCGCTCTGATTTCGACCAACTGCCGTGGTGTCCTAGACAAATGACAAGTTATGCCAAAGGCAGACGCATCTGGTGTGAGGCCCCATCAAGTAGGCTTTGTGAGGATCGCTAATGCAAAAAAATTGCCTGCCTGGCAATTGTGAGCGTAACAATAGAAACACCAAAATGTGCAAAAATTATAATGAAAACGTTTTTCGGCAATCGGAAATTGTGGTTACATTTAGGATAAGTGCCGTCTTCATACACTGAGAAAAAGCTTCTGCGAGCATGGAGAAAATAAAGTAAACTGCTGCAAATGTAAGTTGCCTTAATGTAGAAGAACTGCAGTACCAGTACCAACTCCCCAAGCACCCCACAAGCCTATTACTGGCTGATGAATTTGCCAGCTTTAATCAGTGCGCCTGCAGCGGGAAACCACCATCAAAAGCAGGCAGCACAAAAACAAAGGCAACCCTGCTAACTGGGCATATAAACGATTGCACGAGCATCTGTATCTGTGGCTATATCTGCAGCTCGAACTGTTGCCTGTATCTGTCTAACTGTGTGTGGCGGTAAATCTTTATAAGCGCGAATAATTGGTTTCCTCATTTAATGCGAATGGTTGGGCACCAACAGCAGCGGGAGTTTTAAGGGAGTTGGGGGTAGAAGCAGCAGGCGGCTGCCGTTGTTGCAATCGTTGCGCCGCATAGAAAATGCTCCACAATAAACATCAGATGATTTTTTTTTCCTTTTTTGCGCCGTGCCCCGTTAGCTGTCAGAGCAAACAGCAGGAGTCATAATATTGCAACAGCATCGGGATCGCAGTCAAAGCTGGGAGAGTCCAGAGTTTGAGTCGGTGTCAGCTTTGACTTGGGGGAGCAAAAAAGAAATTGCTGGAAAAAATTAATTGCATTTTCATTATGTTGACTGGCAGAGTCAGTCAGAGTCAAAGGAAGACCGGCAGACAGCAAGCAGTAGCAGTAGCAGCAACAGCAGACAGATAGACAAATGACGGGGATATATAGGCACTTATACATATTGTAATATGCGTACAGAGTCTCCCTTCTAACTAAACTGTCCTTATGATATACTTTGCTGATGGTAGTGAGTGGGCATTAGATATATGTATGTGTAAAGGCATTGGAGTGAAGTACGAAGGTGGTAAATGTCATAAATAAAATGACATATATAAGTATTCGCTTATATCATCATTCCACTTTTAAAAGATACTAACAAAACAAATACTTAAAAACAACACGCGCATTAAAAGTGGATCCCCTTATCGCGGTCTTATAAATTGATCTATAAAATATATGTGAGGTTAAACAACAATATGCAATACCGGAAAAAAACACCTTTCTTATCTTTATTTTTTGTACGGCGGGAAATTGATTTCACAAGGCAGACTTACGTAAACAGGTTTTGTGTTTTTCTAACCCAAATCAATGGATCGATAAGATCAATAACATCACATGTTTCCTTTACGTTGTGTGAGTGGCGTTTAGATAAGGTTAATACGAGGCTTTCTACTCAGCCATCGTGCTATATTTTTTGTATAATTTTAAGGTTCAATTTAACATTGAAGTTTATAAAATATAGATATGCATACACCCTTGTTTGTTTATGATGACGTTTTGCAGTATACCTGTAATATAGTCAATCCCCACGAAATTTAATTTAGATCGGCCAACCCTTCATTATAGCATTCCAGCCATACCCATTTCCATCATTATCATACGAAATGCATGAGTCAAACAGTTTGACTGATATGAAGGCGATTGCCGCAAAAAAAGATAAATACTTTACGCTTTATTTACATAAGATACGTCGCACAATGTGCTATATATACGAAAAGTATTTTTCAGGCCCTGTTATTGTCAACTTACTGCGGTTATCGTTTGGTTCGGCTGAGTTCGTGGTAAACTTAACTGAATGTGACGCTAGCTGGTGTTTGTCGAAAGTAGAATAGAAGAATCTCACACCATGTCGAATGTTACATGTGATAAGCCTGCTATTCTACTTGCCAATCCACACCGATCAGAGTAAAACAAAAACCATAAAACCTGCACACACGTGGAAACATATTTGAATTTACATATTTATTTATTTTTTTTCACTAAATCGATCACACAGAGGACGACACTTTAATCCGAGCACATTCGCTGCAATCACAGGTAAAAATCTATATTCCATTCAAATGATTTCACGAAAGGGAATACATAACAGGAGAACTGAGCACTTCGGAGTTCAATAACGAAATAATGGCATATTTTCATAGATATCGCTTTTTATATGATATGCCTTATCTGACGACAGTTTTTTATTTACTTTACCTTCTACTCAGGCAATATCTTATGTGTGTGTGTGTGTGTGTGGAGTAGATAACTGGATTTGGATTGGCCGCTGTTATCGATAGTGAGAAGCGTATCACATACATACATGTATATGGGCATAGATATGACGACCTCATGCTGAATGTGGCATGGATAAACACAGCCAAGTGAATAAAGCTAAAGGCTCCAAATAAATGTGACACATCAAGCGAACAGGTATTTATACAAATCTACATTTATTAAAGGTGATCTCTTCACAGGCTGTCTATTAGAATGCTTGTTCAGCCAATGTCCAGTTTAGCTCGCCGATTTGAAGACTACATCGAAAACGACGAAACTAAACAAACAGAACGAGCAAACAACAAACAGAAATTGTGTAAAAGGTCGTCAAACGTGTCGTTGGCACATCGTTGATAAGAAAACCCAAATGCAGACCATATACACAACATACATAGTTTATACATACATACTATGTACTCTGCCCGGCGTGGTTGGTATCAATAAATGCTTCTACTGCGGCAGTTACCAGCACATTGAGTCAGATAAGATATAGAAATTAACTGTGATAAATGACAATCAGGTGAAGAATTCAGGGAGCTAGCAACAATATCGGAAAATTTAGCTCATGGGATAATCAAATATTGTAAATTAGAAAATAATAATCGAAATTGAACGAACTCAATTCCATTGATGACATTGTGTGTCGATGATGGAATAACTTATCAGTAAGATCAATCAAAATCGATAGTTTCCCGTCGACTGGCAGAAGTCGAAGTAAATTAGTCGAATCTTATAAGATATACATATAAGTAAAAATGCTTTAGACGATAAGCTTTCGTACTCCATAATAAATAATACACAGAAAAAATAAACACATGACTTTAAAAGGCAGACAACACTTTCATAAATAACTTCATTATCTAGGATTTATATTAATAAACGTGATTGGTCAACAGATGAAAATATATTTATCAACTTGATTGCTTACGGTGATTACAAATTTATATACAAATTTACTATTTACTTTTTAATATATTTTCCAAATAACTTTCGTCATCATTTCGTAGAAAAAATGCACACCTATTGCATGTATAGCACTAGAAACATTAACCTGAATTTCTTGCCTTATCGATTTTATGTTTAAGTATTTCCGCTGGCAACACCAAACTAGCCATACTAACATACTTTGATTACATAACACATAACACCTCAGCGCCTCATGGTTAACAAAATTTAAGCGAATAAGTCAAAACTTTTAAATTGTTCTTCGCATTCGAAAAGAATGCGAGACATATCTTATCTTAGAGCAATGCATAAATATAAATACATATTGATATGTATTACTTTAAGATTTTATATGCCTGCCAACTGAAAGCAAACAAAAACTTCGACTGTTAACTTATTGTATTTTAACTTAGCGATAAGTTTTCGTTGTCAATTCCTTCTCGGGCACCTGCTATCCCTGTTTCCCTATCAGTCCCTTATATATTTGCGAACTTATTCGACTGCCAGATACTCAGTAATAAGGATGAGGCTTAATTCAGCTCACAGTTGAGCTCATTCATTTCTCTTAGTGACCTAAGCTTGTATTATAACATTGATAACAAACCAATAAGTGTGAATCATATGTTAAAATTATTTACTAACTTCAAGAAAGCATGACTGGCTAGGAAAAATAATCTATGTATGGCTTGCCGACATTTCATTCTCCCTTTATTTTTTTATAACGTTTTAAAATGTGGCGACAGACTAATCGATATAGACTTCAATCATAAATTTCTCTAGCCTTTAGCGTATAAGTTGGCGTTCATTAAGTTTATTTCATGTCAGACTATGAAAATGTATTTGTCAAAGCGAAGATCTGTCCGGTTTGTAAGTTTTGAAACTGGCAATGAGTAATCAATAATGCAAAACGTTTCATTTAAAATTCTAAGAATTTAATTAAATTGCACAAATGACAGGCAACTGGGTTGGGTCTACGTTCCAAGAATCCTTTTGGGGGCACCATCCAGGAAACATATTCGCACGTACAATTGATTAAAACTACGTGTTGCGATTGCATAATGAATGCACAAATGTCATTGTGCAATCGCAGTGGGGACTTGATTGCACCTCGGACAATTCAAGTTACTTGGATAATAGGCATCGAATTTGGAGGGAAGACGCATGCAGGCATCGAAATCCCAGCAAACTATTCATAAAGAAATTTGTGAAAATGGGTGAAAATTCATTGATAAAGAAATAATAATTTCCGCTCTTGTCGCCCACCAATGCACACAGGACTTTATGATTTTCAATTTCCGGACTCAGATTCTCGAGTCAATGGAAAAATATACAATTGCAATAGCAGCAGTTTAAAGTACAGTCGCCGCTTTAGGCCATAGGGTCGAAGACCGCTAAAAGTTAAACAGAGTTGTTCACCACGTGGATGGAGCTCAGCCTAGTCACATTTCACCTGCGGCAGCTTGCAATGAAAAATCGTTTAATGACACCATTCACACACTCGGGGACACACACACACACATACACACACACACATACACACACCCACACACACACAAACACACATACACACACACACACACACACACGTACAAGCCAGCGCAGTCCGGGGCAGACTTTTGCACTCGTTTCGACTGTCTGTCTATTTTGTCAGTTGTGGGATGAAGGGTTTTGGTTGGATGCCGTTTGTAGCTGTAGGCAACAATTGCAACATTTTCCAGCCGCCATCAAAAAAGGGAGCAGCCTGCAGGTAACCTTTTGTACGTAGCAGTCACATAGCCAACATCATTTGTCAAGCTCTACGGCAATTAGATGTGTCCTATGTTTCTAGTCCTATATGAAAAGCAGTTGAGTTCTTTTTTGTTGGGGGCGAATATACAATCAAGCAGGTCATATTTTTAAAGGGCGTCTTATCTGTAAATAACCTATATTTAAAGTGACATTTTTAAGAATCTTTATGAACTCTAAAATGGGTGAATTTCGTTGGAATTCTACTCTCCCTACGCAATCAATCACACAAAGTTAATTTACAGAAGAAAAAACAATGATTATGTATCTTTATCATATTTAAGCTATCCATAATCAAAGTTAATTCATCAATCAACTTCAGACTTAATCTTAGAGTCCTGAACCAGAAATTTCCCCACAGTCCTAGGCATAACTAGTAACTACTATTTCGAAAGAATCAAATCTTTGTTCACTTGCTTGAGACTGTACGTGCCGGCCCACATTTATATAGAATTTTTCGTTTTATTATATTCATTAGTTGTTAAAAAATTACTTTTATTTAGAATTCTGATAAGATATATCGAGCTACGCCTAAGTATATAGAATGTTGTCGCCAGAGGTATTGGTGCTTTGTGTGTGTGTGTGTGTGTGCCACTTTAAACAAGTGATTCGATTTATGATTAGGAATTTGAACATTGGTAAACAGCTTATGATAAGAAAACGTATTGCATACTATAAGTACCACGTCAACGTAGTTATTTCTAGGGCTCTGTTTTCTTGATTTTTTTTTTCTTTTTTTTGGAAGGGGAGTGTTGGTTAACACCAAAGATATTCCCTACAGTGTAATGAGACCTTTATTAAATTAGACCTCGACAATGAGTATGATTGCTAATTACCGATGCATCTCATGCCAATCGTTTGCATTGACCAAAACGCAAAATGCCAAAGTTTTAATCAATACCCAAAAACCGCAGTAAAGTCAACTCGAACTGCCACTGCAGCTAAATAGACCACGCCCACCTCATGCCATCGAATGAGGCCGCCCACAGGCGACAACCGCAGTAGGGCGGAGAACACTTTCGCATGCCGCAGCACGTAGAGCTCGTTAGACATTTTCTTAAGCTAATATTTTCACAGAGCACGGTGGACACAGACACGGACATGGAAACGGACACGGAGTGTGCTGCTGCCAGGAGGAGATTATTCAAATGATTGGAAATTATCATGTCCTTGCATCCATTTTTGGCTGCCAGTCGCTGTCCGTTCTCGTTGCCTATTGCCAGTGCAGCTCCCGTGTGCAAACAACAAATTGCATTTGTCATCTGCTGCATAAATAACGAGATAATACCGTAACATAATAACTGTCAGTGGGTGGCTGGCTTCTGATGGCGACGATCAAGGCTGGCTGTGAACTCCTCCATAGGTAATTCACGTCTCACCCGTTCGAGATTTGCATTGAGTGAGTGAGTATATTTGTGTGTGTGTATGTGCACGTGTGTGTGTGTGTGTATGTGTGTGGTGGTTCTGTGGCAAATGCGAATTTGTATCGTCGATTTGCATATTTAATCAAAATTAACATGACCGATAAAATCAATTACACACATTCGCACACACACACACAGACAAAGTGACAGAATGAGAGAGGGATGGGCATCTGGCAGACGTTGCAACGTAAGATACAGATACACACTCTCTCTCTATCTCTCTCTCTCTCTTTCTCTTTCTCTCTCTCTCTCTCTCTATCTCTCTATCTCCCTCTCTCTTTTCAAGCTACTCGAATAACAATTGCATTAGAAAATATATCGCCATTCTCATTGTCATCCTGCTCGTTCTCATCTTGCCTCATCGTCGACGTGTACAATTTTCGGTTCGTTTGGCTCTGAAATCCCTTTTGCAGAATCTACGACCATGTCGCTTTCAAACTGTGTAAACTGCAGTGAATGTGTGTACACGTATGTGTGTATGTGTGCATTACTGCATTGTTACAGACACTAATACGACCAACGGCTTATCCTGTCCAACGTGCTTAAATTGTTTCTTCCTGTCACACTGATTTTCTCTACTCGATTTATTTCATTTTGTTCCTTTGCTGTTTGTTGTTGCAGCTCATTGATATCCAAATGTATTTTTATGCTTTAAAATCCAAATAACAATATATGTGATTGCAACAATCTGAAATACGTATGTGTATTCTATTTAATTACATTTACATGTATTATATTGTTCCAGCACAAACGGATGCATTTTTATTTATTTACCTGCATTATATACATAAATATGTAGATTTATGTCAGCCAGCCGAGTAGTGGTAAACTTTTGTATTTATTGTTCGTTAAGATATGTCTGTTATATATGCAAATATGGTAAATCAAATTAGAGCATGTGGCATATTGGGAAAAAAATGCAAGTAATCTGAAATGAAAGCACGAACCAAGGAATAACGAATGTTTCATCTGCTGTCTGTCTTAAAAAAAGGAAGAATATGCCTATGTATATAAGTCGCTTTAAAGCTTACAAGTTAAAAACATATATTGTTTTAACAAATTCGCATTTATATATTCATAATACCCATCAGTTTCAGCCTGCAACATCTGGTGTAACTTTCAATTCCTTGCAGCCTCCCCTCCTTGCAAGAATGCAGCATCTTCTTCCTGCTAAGGCGATGCACTTGATTAAGTGCTGTCAAACTATATTTGTAATAGTATATGTATACATATAAGTATATCGTGTCTACAACACCTTTACTGAAATTGCAACGTTTCTGTAAAATATCTAAAATTCATTAGACACCCTAAAACGATTTCCTTTGCTCGAAAGCTGGCGTCCCGTTGAAATTCCTAAAATTTAATTACGCTTTCATTGCCGATATCTGGGACCGCGTTTTGTTGAACTCCTAGCTACATACATATACATATACATATATATTCTCATTGAATTGAAGCTAAAGGAAAAGTTGATTTTTCCATTTAGTATTTTCTCGCAGACAAATTAACACCAACTGTAAAGAGCTTCATAGGACCGACAAACTGCTTAATTGTCATTGGGCTGGCCGAAAGGGATATATATCTATATATATATATGTATGTGGGGGAGAGGTGAACGGAATCCATAAGTTCGCATTGAT